CCTCACCAATGTCCTGTACAACCTCAACATGATAGCCTAACTCCTATACTCAAAGATTTGAGCAATGAAGGCATCGTGCTAAATGCCTTCTTGACCACCCTGTCTACCTGTGATGCAAATTTCAAAGGATTATGTACCTGAACCCCTGGGTGTCTCTGTTCTACAACACTATTCAAGATCCTGCTTTTAATTGAATAAGTCCTGCCCTTGTTTGTTTTACCAAAATGCAATACCTTGCATCAAGGTTCCATTCTGTGGTTATTTACCCAGTCAACTTACATCTTTGACGAAACAACATTTTAAGCACACTGTAACAACAAAGCAATTGGTCAATCTGGAACTGGAGTTCACTTTGTTTGTTATGCACTTCAGTTGTTTCACTCTGCCCCATAATTTTCTCACCATATTTATTCTTCCCATTTCTTCCCTGTTTGCCAGAACTTAATCCATGATCCTTCTAAAGGACTTGGAAATCTCAGCAAATTGCTATGGTTTGATCATTCCTATGATCCACTCATACATGAACGCTGTAGGCACTTCCCAATAGCTCAGTACTCACTCAACTCCTTTTGAGGAGAATAAAACAACAGGATTCTAAAGGTCACAGAAATGTCAGTTTTTATATTTTCCTGCCCAATTACACCTTTTCTTCTTAGCCCCAGTCTATACAAACTCACTGAGCTGGGAAGCAACTGTAGCTTGGAAATGGAACTCCTTTTTCAGCAGGAGTTGTTGTTTCCAGGTGGATTTGCCACCATGGATTACAGCAAAGTTTTTGAGCTGCTCTACAGCAAGTTCCAAATGTTACTAGGACCCTCGGTAGTGGAAACAGACTGTTTGAACCAAGGACAAAGTGATCCGAACAGTTGGTCATTCTGAGTATTCCAAATTTTTGATGTTTCTCTGCACTGTACCTCTAATGAAGTGGAAGTCACCACAAGGAACCATTTTAAATCATTGGTTAGCCCTCAGCTGAAGACAGTTTGGCTCAATTCTGGGCAGTGCCGCCAAGGGTTGGTCAATGTGCCAACGAGATTTACTAGGATGTCACCAGGAATCAGGGGATTCATGTTTGTGGGACACTACAGAAGCTGGGATTATCTTCCTTAGAGCAGAGAAGATGAAGAGGAGATTTGACTGAGGTATTGAAGAGGATGAATGGTTCTGGTACAGTAAATAAGAACAGACTGTTTTGGTGGTGGAAGGATCAGAAAACAAAGAACATAAATTTAAGAAAATTGGGAAAAAGAGTCAGAGGTGTGTGCAGGCTAGGTGGATTGGCCATGCTAAATCGCCCATAGTGTTCAGGCTAGATGGGTTGGGGGGGTTGAGTCTGGGTGGGATGCTCTGAGGGTCGGTGTGGACTTGTTGGGCCTAAGGGCCTGTTTCTACACTGTAGGGATTCTATGATTCTTTGATACGAAAAAAGTTTTTCTTTAAATTGCAGCCGGTTAGCAAGGTCTGAAATGCACTGCTTAAATGAAAACTTAAAGAGAGTTAATATAATAAAAAAGGGTGTTTGGTGTAATCAGTCCATGTTGCTGTCTGTAGTCCACTCATGTTTCCCTCCACATTTCGTCATCTAACTTTTATTAGCACGACCCTCTATCCCCTCCTTCTCTTATATTTGTCAAGTTCCTCCTAAAATGCATCTCCAGTATTCACCTCAACTACACACTGTCGTAGTGAGTCCTACGAACTCACCTCTCTGAGAGTGAAGAAGTTTCTTCTGAGGTCCCTTTTTGATTTCCTGTGGATTATATTGTATTGATAGCCTCTATTCTTACTTTCTCACATGAATGGATACAATCTCTTTTGGCTAATTCACAAAAAGTTTTCATAACTTTAAAGACCTCAAACAGATCGCTCCTCGGTCTTCACTTTTCAAGAGAAAGAAGACCCAGCCTGTTCATCCTCTTCTAATGGGTGCCTCTAAATCTTTTTAGATGATAAGCAGAATTGTACACAGTACTCTAGTTGTTGTCTGACTAAGGTTTGGTACAAGTTTAGCATATCAGCTTTACTTTTTAAGTAAGTCCCTCTAGGAGTAAAGCCGACTGCTTGGTTTACTTCTTTTAAAAAATGGCCTTGTCAATCTCTCTTACCACTCTAGAATTTGAATACACTGACTCCCAGGTCCTTTTGCTCCAACAGCCCATTTAGATTTTCAGCTTGTTACTTTTGTTGCCAAAATTTAACACCTCACATTCATCAGATTTGAACTTCATTTGCCAATTAATGTCTCCTGTCATTTGTTGCAGACCTTCTCATATTAACAGTTCTCCCCAATTTGGAGTCAGCTAGTTTAGAAATTGTTCCAAATTCTAAATCATTAAGGAACAAGTTGTGAACAGTTGTGCTTGCACTGAATTTTGTGGAACACCCTTTTATACCTACCATCACAGTGAATAACTACCCCTTATTCCCACTTCCTGCTTTTTGTCTTACAACCAGTTTAGCTACCTCATACTCCTACTTGTCCCCTGGATTCAGTCTCTGACCCAAATCATTAGTACAATATAAAATCTCTATTAAAGGTCTTTTGACAAGTTGCATTTACTTCATTAACCTTGTATACCTATATTCTGTATATTTTAATAAATTTAATAAGGCTGGTCAAGCAAGACTTTGCCGATTTGAAATCCATGTTGTATATTTATTGTTCTATTTATAATTTCTAGGGATTCTAATCTCTACTTGGTAGGGATTCCATTATTTTTCCAATGTTAAGCTGACTGGTTGTACAGTTCCATGGACATGTTTTAACTCACTTCTCAAATAGTGGTATCAGGTGGTGGAAGCATGTTCGATCCTAATTTTTAAAAGGGGTACGGATAAATAATTGAAATGAAAGATTTTCAGGGTTTGGGAGGGAGAGCAAGGAAGTGGAACTAATTAGATATCTCTAAAACCAGCACAGGGACAACAGCCAAATGGTTTCCTTCTATGTTGTAAGATTCTATAAATGAACAAAGCTGTCACATCACTGAAAAGGAAAAGCTTGATTGTGGTTTATGCAAACCTTGAAGCCAAGACTTGGTACGAAGTTGGCCAAGCAATAATAATAAACTTGGCTATGCCGATGACAAGCCAAGAAATAACAATGCTGCTGAGATCACTTCATTATTTTTCATTGGTCAGGTCAGTGTATTTTCAATTGAATGATTGGCATGAAACAAATAGAAATGGCATTAGGCCATCACAGTGGGTTAAGAAAGGACATCAACTGTGGTGCTGGAAGGCAGTAAAAAGGATAGGGGCTTTGCATCCCAATCTAGACAATAAAATTTAGTGATTTCTCTCAATAAGCTGGTTTTTGCCAATCTCCAAGTATTATCGTAGAATTAAAGACTAATTGCCTGGGCACACTTTGAGATAAAGTACACGCGTTGTTAAAAATAAAAGCACAATTTTTCTGGAGCATGTTTATTTATAGGAGGCGTTGGTGGTCTTTTTGTCAAGGTGGTGCAATAGAAATCTGGGGATAGTGCTGAAACCTTCACGGATCCATTCAACCAGAATTGACAGTCCTCCACTCAGGAGGGAGGATAGTCAGTTGCTGAGTTACAGTTGAAAACAGAAGTTGAATTCATGAATGGAACAACCTAAAGCATATTAGTGGGGTGTATGCATGTTGGGTCTGCACGGTATGGCTGCGTGTGTGCTGAGAGTGTGTATGTATGTGCTGAGAGTGTGTCTGTGGGTTAGTCACGGTGAGTGTGTGTGGGAGAAAGGAAGAGGTCAGATATTTTATAGATCACAATCAAGGAACCCCAATAAATAATCTAAATAATCTGCTTGGCCTGCTGTGTTCATCCAGCTCTACACTTTGCTACCCCAATAAATAGTTGTTGCCAAATGAATGTTCCAGTGGCTTAAACATTTGACTGGATGGCAAATGTACTCTGATTGGTACAGGTATTGCCATGGAGAGTGCACCAGTGTAAGGACAACTAGTTAACTGCCAAACTTTATTAAATTTGACTCAAGCTGGTGACTCCAGTGTGATGTAATGTATGGAGGCCATATGTTCCAAACGCTGGAAGCTTGTATCAAACTGCATGTTATTTTGAATTTTCTCAACAGGCAAGGTACTGACTGTGCACAACCAGCCCATGCTATCAAAACCCAAAATATTTTGAGGGACGTTAGATGCAATTTTCTGATTGGACTACATCTGCTAAATAATTTGGAGTTTACTAAAAATTAAGCTGATTATGTTGATGCTTAAAATTATCAGTTGAATTCACTGTGTGGCACACTTATGTATAATGGAAGGTGCATACATTAATGCACAGATTTCTGGATTACTAGCCCTATGACATTACCACTACACCACCGTGTTCCCCTCCTCATCCCAGTTCAGGTCGCATTAAAGACTGCTGATCCATGTTTCATCAGGAGCAAATACAAATCAAGTAGACAAGTTGCTAAGGTTGGCTTTACATCATACAAGGAAAAGAGAAAATTACATTACTGGATGAAAAGACCAAGATCTATCTGGTTCTTCCTGGAATTACAATGGAATTGTTGATGAACCACGCCAAATCAATACCTAACAATGACTATACAACTGACCCAAACTTCTTGGTTTTGCTTTTATAAGCAGTTTTTAAGTTACTGCTAAAAACAGTAAACAATTTTCAGGTAGACAGTTTTTAAGTTAATTTCTAAATAGTAAAATTTTAATGGAAAATAGATCAGATCCTTGGAATTGCCAGCTGATCAGCAGTCTCATACACCTCAATCTTACAAAAGCAACAGAGATGTATAAGACTTTGCTTATTTGATTATTACTTTGCACAGACCACATTAAGAAAGACATTTTTTTTATCCAAGCAAAATAAGTTTTTGAAATGTGACTCTGTGATCATGCAAAAAAGAGTCTCGTTTGAGTACAACTGAAAACAAAGTGCCAGTCTATTACTGTCATAGAAATCCCACAGCTGTACAAAGTGACAGTTGCCCATCTCCACGTGCACGAATAAACACTTGATTACCTGCATGTGGTGTGAGAGTTCAGCAAGATCTTTTCCTGGTCCATCAATTTCAGGGAGAGACAGAGATTTCTTGGTTACAAACTGCTCAATTTTTTGGTAAGTCTTCTCGAAAAATTCCACTTTGGCTCTGAGTTTTTCCAGTTTGGCTGTTCTTTCCTTTTGTCGGCCACTGGCTGAAGAAAACCGTTTGGCAAGTTCATCCACCTTTGCTTGCAATTCAGAGGCAGTGGTTGGATCTGCTGTTGCTATGAACTTGTTGGCTTTCTCTTTAATGGCGCTAATACTGCTTTGGCGACTGGCAATGTTCTGTTCCAGTACCTGCAGAAAAATAGGACAAGTGTTCAACTCTATGAATGAGTGGTTATTTTAAGCACTTACAAACCATAGCAAATGCTTACAATGATATCTTGTTAATCCACTCAGCAACAACAAAATAGTGCTCCAGGCACAGACAACATGAGCATCAGTGTAGAGATAGAGGGTATTGTCTTATACTTGCATTACATGTTCACAGGTGTTGGAAAGTAGGGTCCCCTATAAAGCTGTGCTTTTTTAGTCTTCTATATTTAATATTTTCCTGTGCAGTATGATGCCTCATTTAATTGTGTTATAGTAGTAATTAACATAAATAATTGATTCACTGGGTGCCACACTATTATAAATATAGTGCTTGGGAAAATAAGGAGGTTTTGTGTTTAGAAGGAATGGAGATAAGCCTGCAAATGGAGGTAGGCAAGGGGGCAACAATCATCCTGGCATCATGAGCAGCTGCCCTGGTCAATGGCCGAGAGGGTTTAGACAGGTGTTTACCCTGCATAGATGGACAATCCCAAAATAAAATGCATCACCAGGGGTACATGGGGAAGAGAAAGGGGGGAGGGGATGAGAGAGAGTGAGAGAGACAGACAGACAGACAGACAGACAGACAGACAGAGAGAGGGAGGGGAAAGGAGGGAGAGGGAGGGAGAGGGGTGAGAGAAAGGGAGAAAGACAGAGGGGAGAGAGAGAGGAGGAGAGAGAGAGTGTTGGTTGGTAATGGATCCCAAGGAAAGGAATTCATGGACTGTCTACGAGATGATTTTTTTGGAACTTGTGGTTGATCCCACTCGGGAACAGACTATTCTGGATTTGGTGATGTGTAATGAAGCGGACTTGATAAGAAACTTAAGGTGAAGGAACCCCTAGAGGGCAGTGACCATAATATAATAGAATTCACCCAGTAGTTGAGAAGGAGAATCCCGAATCAGATTGTAATTACAACTGAGTAAAAGGTAACTACAAAGACATGAGGGAGGAGCTGGCCGGAGTTGATTGGAAAGGGAAGCTAGCAGGGAAGACAGTGGATCAGCAATGGCAGGAGTTTCTGGGGGGTAATTTGGGAGCGCAGCAAAAACTCATCCCAAGGAACAAGAAACATACTCAGTGGAGAACAAGGCAACCATGGCTAACAAGGCAATGAAGATATACGGAAGCCAGAGGATTTGGAAGCCTTTCAAAACCTTCGGACGACAACTAAAAAACAATAAGGGAGGAGAGGATGAAATATGTGAGTAAGCAAACTAGGAACACGAGTGAGAGGTCTTCAAAAGAGTTGGGCAGCAGAGGTGAGTGTAATGGCCATCACTAAAGAGAAGGTACTGAGGAAGCTGAAAGGTCTGAAGGCGTACAGACCGGAAGGACTACACCCCAGAGTTTTGAAGGAGATAGCTGAGGAGATTTGAAGGCAGTGGTGGTGATTTTTCAGGAATTGCTGAAGTTGAAGAGGGTCCCAGAGGACTGGAAAATAGCTAATGTAACACCACTTGTTTAAGAAGGGAAGGAGGCAAGTCAGGAAACTGTAGGCCATTTAGCTTGGCCTCAGTCATTGGTAAGATTTTACAGTCCATTATTAAGGATGAGATTGCACAGTACTTGTAAATTCATGGTAAAATAGGGCTGATTCAGAATGGCTTCGTTAAGAGGAGGTCATGCCTGATCAATCTGTTCAAATTCTTTGAGGAAGTTATAAGCAAACTAGACAAAGGAGAGCTGGCAAACGTGATCTATTTGGATTTCTAGAAGGCCTTTGACAAGGGGATAAAGGGGTCTTTTTCAGGTTGCAGCTGGTGACTAGTGGAGTTCTGTAAGGGTTAATGTTGGGACCACAACTATTCACTTTATGCATTAACGATTGGGATGAAGGAACTGAGGGCATTGTTGCTAAGTTTGCAAATGACACAAAGATAGGTGGAGGGACAGCTGATGTTGAGGAGGGATGAGGTTGCAAAAAGACATGGACAGGCTAGGAGAGTGGGCAAAGAAGTGGCAGATGTAATATAATATGGGTAAGTGTGAGGTTCTGCACTTTGGTAGGAAGAATGGAGGTGCAGACTGTTTTCTAAATGGGGAAAGGCTTCAGAAATCTGAAGCATAACGGGACTTAGGAGTTGTAGTTCATGATTCTCTTAAGGTTAACATGTAGGTTCAGTTTAGAAGGCAAATGCAATGTTAGCTTTCATTTTGAGAGGGCTAGAATACAAAGGCACTGTTGTACTGCTGTGGTTTGTATAAGGCTCCGGTCAAACTGCATGTGGAATGTTGTGAGCAGTTTTGGGTTCCATATCTAAGGAAAGATGTGTTGATATTAGAAGGAATCCAGAGGAGGTTTACAAGAATGATTCAAGGGATGGAGGGCTTGTCAGATGAGGAGAGACTGTGGACTCTGGGTCTGTACTCGATGGAGTTTAGAAGGATGAAGGATGATCTGATTGAAATTTATAGAATACTGAGAGGCCTGGATAGATTGGATGTGGAGATGTTTCCACAAGTAGGAGAGACTAGGATCCGAGGGCACAGTCTCAGAGTGATGACCCTTTAGAACTGAGAAGTGGAGGAATTTATCAGCCAGAGGTTGGTGAATCTAAGGAACTCATTGCTGTAGAAGGCTGTAGAGGCCAAGTCATTGAATGTATTTAAAACAACAGTAGATAGGTTCTTGATTAGTTAGGCAATCAAAGATTATGGGGAGAAAGCAGGAGAATGGTTTTGAGAAACATATCAACCATGATCAAATGGTGAAACAGACTCAATGGACTGAATGGCCTAATTCTGCTCCTTTATCTTATGTTCTTAAAATCAACACAGGTCCATCATGAGAAATAAAATTTCATTGAAATGAACAATTGAGAAAATAAAAGACTTTCTCTGTATGGTGAATTTGACATCGCTAATATTATGAAGGACCCCATTTGTATTAGAGCCTTCTTCATATAAAATTCATTCCTTAATGAGTTTAATGAAAATTGTCTAAACTATTTCCATAATGGTCTAGTGTTCCAGGATAATTACTCACACAAAGCATATTGGAAATCTGGAATTCCTGTCCCCAAAAACCGAGGGTACCAATTCAAAACAAAACTAAGATAAATACACTTTTATTAAGTAAAGATCTTAAGGGTTAAGGAACCAAGACAGAATTAAGACACAGATCAGGGAAGCTGGTGGTACAGTGATAATATCACTGGACAGTTGATGTTCTGGGAACAGAAACATGGCTCAAGTCCCAGCAGCAGGGCAGTTTCCTTGTTCCAATCATCTTCAACAGCTGTATGAATAACTTTCCCTCCATCATAAGACCAGATGGGATGCTTGCTGATGATTTCACAACATTCTGCACTAATCATAATTTCTCAGAAGCGATCGTGTCCATATGCAGAAAGGACCAGACAATATTTAGGATAAGTGATAAGTGATAAGTCAAATTCACACCACACTAGTGCCACACAACTAGAGAGAGAATCTAACCATTTCCTCTTGGTTTTGCATGGCATTATCATCGCTGAAACCTCCACTGTCTACAATATGGGGGTTATCATTGACCAGAAATAGCTGGACTAGCCACATAAATACTGTGGCTATAATAGAAGGTCAGAGGCTAGGAATTCTGAAGTGAGTAGCTCACCTTATGTCTCCACAATGCTTTTTCACAGTCTACGAAGCACAAGTCGGGAATGTGATGGAATACACCACACTTGCCTGGATGAGTACTGCACCAACAACACTCAAGAAGCTCAACACCATCCAGCACACAATAGCCTGTTTGATTAGCACCCATCCACCACCCTGATCACTCACTTTCTCAATCACTGATGCAAAGTAGCAGCCAGGTGCACAATCTTCAAGTTGCAGTGCAGCAACTCACCAAGCCAACTTCCACAGCAACTTATAAACCCACGATCTCTACCACCTAGAAGGACAAGGGCAGCACCTGCATGCCAATGCCACACATGTAAATTTCTTTCCGAGCCATACCACATCCTAACGTGGAACTATATCATTGTTCTTTCAGGGTCATTGGTTCAAAATACTCATTTGTCAATACAATATGGAATAGTGGCTCACCTCTATTTTCTCAAGGCCAATGAGGAACAGGCAAAAAACATTGGCCTAGCCAGTGATGCCCACAACTCAGAAACGAATATAAACAACGAGAAAACCGTCATTTAATTGAACGGTGGAGTAGGCTCAAGAAGCTGAATGGCCTTGTTCTGATCCCTAAGTATCAATCTGAAAACAACTGCTTCCATTCTTTTGACATAAACGTCAACTAAGTTACAGTTCTTAGATTCAAGCCATTGGTTACATACTTAATCCCTTAATTACATTTCAGAGAGTGAACAGATCATAAAGATAACCAAGCATCTCTTTACAAAAAGAATCATTCAAGAACCTATGCCACAATTTTCCGATCAAACATAACCAGAATTTGGTACAAAAATAAACTTGTGTTTTTATTTTTAATAAATGGCAACAATAAAGTCAACTCTCAATACTGAACCCAAATCAAAAATATTCTTTAAAGATAGAAGTTTAGTATTTAGATGGTTTAATAACTTAAAACATTTGACTTTGTTGCTAATGAAGAAAATTATGTATTGTATAAATATCTATAGTCAAACAGGCCACAGACACTTCTTGTCAAATATTGGAACCAAGGTCTTTCAAAATAAAAGTGCAGACTGATATTTCATAGCGTGAGGTTTTAATTTTGATCCCTATAGTTTTAAATACATCTGAATTATTATCATGGTTTTATGCTCAGAAGAATTTTGTCATGTGGAAACATGTGCCCTTTCTGTGGGAAGTTGATCTGATTCACTTTTATTCTCGTTTACTGAAATTATATTTACGATGAATAAAAATTTGCTTTGTTTTTAATTTCATAGAATCCCTACAGTATAGAAGGAGGCCATTTGGCCCATCGAACAGCATCCCACCCAGACCTACCCCATTCCTGTAACCTGCATTTTCCATGGCTAATCCACCAAGCAGCACAACCCTGGACACTACAAGGCAATTTAGCTTGGCGAATCCACATCTTTAGACTATGGGACGAAACTCATGCAGATACAGCAAGAACATGCAAAGTCCACACAGACAGTTGCCCAAGGCTGGAATTGAACCCAGGTCCCTGGTGCTGTGAGGCAGCAGTGCTAACCACTGAGCCACCGTGATTTGCAATTCAATTTTTTGCATCAAATGTACTCACAAAACAATGCTGAAACAGTTTGATTGATTAGGGTGAAAAGATGGATACTTCAATTTTCCTGTGGCTGATGAATCATTTTTGCAAGGGTAAAAATGTGATTGATTTTTTGACATTATACTCACAGCATTTTTACTGAAGGCCTCTTGAATAGCAGCAGAATTCAAAGGCATCTCCTTGTCATCTTCTAGGCTCTTTTCAACATTAGCCATCCAGTCAAGTATTTCGTCCAAACCATCTTGAACACTCAGGGACCGTGTGAGAGTCATCTGCAGCTTCTCATTGCGATCGCTGGTCGATTTGGATAAATTCTCAAATCTCAACACAACATCATCTATCAAGAGACAAACATTGATAATATTATAGATCCTGTCACTACAATTGACCAATGAAGACAACCCAATGGAAGGTCGAGTATTTAAAACCCACTTCATTTTTCTTCTAAATGACTTTCAATCCACAGATGGCATAAAATGCACTTTCAGGAATTTTTTTTTAACAAAGGCATATCAGAAATGTATGTCCACATCTAGTTTATTACACACCCCAGATTTTTGCTGCATTACTACAGCCTCAGCTGGCACGGATCCAAACCTATTCTCTAAAGCTTTCTGCCTCTCTCTGTATTTAAAAGCTCCTCAAAATCTACCTCTGACCAAACATTTTGGCACTAGTTCTGAAATTGCCCTACACGGCCCTTGTTTAATGTGAACAATCAAGGAATGCATTATGTATTTTTTTTTTTATTATTTGTCATGGGATGTGGCCATCGTTGGATGGGCCAACATTTGTTGTCATCCCTAATTGCCAAGGATGAAAGATGTGGTGGGCTGCCTTCTTGAGCCACTGAAGTCCAAGGGGTGTAGGAACTACCATAGTGTTGGTAGGGAGATGATATCAGGAATTTGACCAAGTGAAGATGAGGGATTGGTGACATAGTTCTAAGTCAGGATTGTGTGTGGCTTATGGGAACTTGCAAGTCTTCATGTTATCTTGCATCTTCTGCATTTATCCTACTAGGTAGTAGCAGTTACAGGTTTGGAAGGTACTGTCAGAGGAGCTTTGGTGAGTTACTGCATTGCATCTTTAGATGGCAGACACTACTGATACTGTGTATTATGAGTGTGAAACGAGTGACTGGTGAAGGTGACAGATCAAGTGCCAACCAAGCAGGATGCTTTTTCCTGGATGGTGTTGTTGAAGCGGCATCTATCCAGGCAAGTGGGAAGTGTTCTGTCACGATTCTGACTTGTGTCTTGTAGATGATAGATACTGGAGAGACAAGAGCCAAGTTACTCAGCAGAATAGCAAGCCTCTGGCCTGTCTTGATAGATACAATATTTTTGTGGCTGGCCTGCTTGTTTTTTGGTCAGTGGGAATATGTAGGATGTCAATCGTGGGGAATTTTGTGATGGTAATGCCACTGAATGTCTTGAAACAATGGTTAGACTTTCTCTTTTTGGAGACAGTCATTTTCTGGCACTTGTATGGCATGAATGTTATTTGCCATTTATCAGCCTAAACCTGGATATTGCCCACGACTTGCTGCATATGAACGTGAATTATAATCTGATGTGGTGGTTAAAGAGGTTTATGGGACACTTGCCTTTATTAAACAAGGCAACAAGTAGAAGAGTAAGGACATTATGATGGAGTTTGTATATAATCTTAGTTAGGCCACAGATGGAGTACCGTCTGCAGTTCTGGTGGCCACACGATAGGACGGATGTGATTGCACTGAAGACTGTACGAAGGAGATTGTTGCCAGGGGTGGAGTGTTTGAGCTGTAAAAAGAGACTAGATAGGCTCAGATTGTTTTGATGATGAGAGAGGAATAGATAGGGTAAAAAAGAAGAAACTTTTCCACTTCGCAGAGGGGTCAATAACCATGGGGAATAGATTTAAGGTAAGGGGCAGAAGGTTTAGAGGGGATTTACAGAAGAATTATTTCACCTAGAGAGTTGTATATATTGGCGCTCACTGCCTGGAAAGGTCATTGAGCAGGAATCATCACAACATTTAAGTTAGTATTTGGATGAACACTTGAAATGCCATCATACAAGGATACGGCCAAGTGCTGGAAAATGGGACTAGAGTAGATGTGTGCTTGATGACTTGGCACAATGAGCAAAATTGCCTTTGACACTGTATGAGCGAGGCACAGGGAGAGGGGGAGGGGAAAGAGAGACAGAGACAAAGAGAGAGGATTACTCTTTCTGACACTGATGTTAGAATGCTGAACTCTTGAGCGTAAGAATAGCTTAGGCAAATAGTATTTAAAATTAATAGCATTGAAATTTAAAGGGAAGTGAGATTAACACATCAGAGACCAGATAGGATATTCTGATAATGTAAATGAAGAATGTTGGGTTTACGGAAGATTGTGTGCAGTACGACCGTCAACAGTGACCAATCAGGCTGAATGTCTTATCTTTGTGCTGATCGTTCTGCACACCAATGTATTTGATCTGAAAACATACCCACATTATCTTGAATTTCATCACGATTCAGCAGGAGATTACCATCGGTATTCATAAGTGCATCAACGGTTTTCCTTAGCTTTTCTACTGTGCTTTGGTGTACAGACATCTGACCCTGCAGATCCTATTCATAGTAAAATAAGACATTAACTTGGGTTGCATGAGGAAATATGATGTGCTAAGAAAATTTGAGCAATTATTGGAGAATGTACAGGTTTCAACCTTGACTTGCTCCAGCTGCTTCTGTAGGTTTTTGGGATCTGCAGCAATGGCCTCCGTCAGCTGAATTTTTGCAGCTTCCTCGGTGACTTGAAGCCATGGTAGAAGGCCTGCTGAGATTTCTTGGTATTGGCTGTACTTATCCACCACATCTTTGAGATTTTTACCCAAGGAATTACACTGGGGGAGAAAAGAAATTAAATGAAAAATATCAGACAAATAGAACACAATTTGTTATCAGTGGCTTTACTGTTCTATGTAAATATAAGCGAGCAGCCACACAGTCCCTCAAGCCTGTTTTGCCATTCAAGATGGCCATTGCTATTTCTTAACCTCAAATTCACTGTCTGACCTGATGCCCAGAATACTTGATTGATTGATTAATTAATCTTTAGGCTCTTTGTTCTACCTGTCTAAGTCTTGATTGCACTCAATGACTGAGCATCTATAGCTCCCTAGGATAAAGTCCTGAAGATTCACAGCTGTTTGGAGTGAAGAGATTTCTCCTCATCTTCGTCCTAAATTGCCAGCCCCTTATACTAGACTGAGCTTTCTAAATGAGGGAAACAACTTGTCAACATCTGTCAGAATTTTATACATTTCAGTTGCATCATCTGCCTTTCTCCTGAAAGCCAGGGGATGCAGGCCCATTCCACTCAATGTCCCCTTATTAAGCAATCCTCTCAACTCAGAACTCAGTCTAGTGAACATCCCCAAGGAAAATAATTTTTTTGTAGATACGGAGGCCAATTGTGGTCTCACCAAAGCCCCGTAGAATTGCAGCACTACTTCATCACTCATGGAATCCAATCCCTTGCAAAAGTGGTCGTCAAACCAATTTCCTTCCTAATTTCTTGTTACCTGAATGTTGACTCTGGATTTTGTATACAGAATTCCTTATTATACTTTAACAAAGTTTATGTACTTTGCTACTTGAAGACTTTGATGAGAAAATATAGTCCACATTGTATTACTGGCTGTAGTTTCCCACATGTCTGCTTGCCAGCATTGTAGCTATAAATTAAACATTTGAACAATGAAACCATTTTTCAAGCTGCTCTGATTTGAGGCTGATGTCAAAAGCTAATTGATTCGTTATTACTTTCCTGCATTCTCCAACAAAATTAAAATTCATGGGCAAGTGCCTGAGAGTAATGACATCCAAAAGTCAAATTCACCAATGTAAAAAGACTCAACTCTGAAAAACACACTTTAAATGATGAAGAAAAACAATTCAGAAAGAGAACAGTTCCTGGTTGTTCACCAGTTCATTTGGTTGGGTATAAAGTTTAAAAAAACTTCAGAGGCAATAGGAAGGAAGGGAACAAAGAATAATCTCAACAAGCATCTGTACAGCATTCTTCTCTGGAAACATATGCAAGTTACAGAAACAAGCCCTTCAGTTCAACTAATCACATACAAGCAAATAGCTCTTATCAAGTTTTACCACTCTGTTCCCATATCCCCTCAACCACTTTGCCTTTATTCAATGATTCAACCTAACAGTCAATATTGACATGGTTTCTGCTTCAGCCACTCTTGGAATTGAACTCTGACTTCAGAATTCACCATGTAAAGAAGTTTCTACTGCCTCTATTCAATATCTCTTGCTTAATTTCATATTAAAATAATATTGACAGCATAGAAACAAGCCATTCTGCCCAACAGGCCTATCCAAGAGGTTCCATTCCACAAGAGTTAATTTATCTACACCTGTTAAGCATATTATTCAAAATTCTAAGCCACCACAAAACCAATATTTCAGATCCAAAGCATACAATCTTGCCCATTGACCCATGGGGGACATTCGAATAAGTAACAGGAAAAGAAGGTTCCACAAATATTCCTATCCTCATCCATGTGATAAAAGAAGAATGGTTCCCAAAAAAACAACTGCACCTTATTCTCATTAATTTGCCTGTCACAGATGCACTATCAATAATAGTATTGATAGCCACAACCACACAGTTCTTGCAGATACAAGGTTCCATTTTAACTTTGAAGATCATATTGTGCAGCACTACTACTGTGTTAAATTTGATAGATTGAGAGAAGAGATAGCAACTTGAATCAAGGCATCCACGAGGTACTGTAGTCAATGGCAGCAGCACTGTATTCAACCACAATCTATGATATCACAACCTGACATATCCCCCACTCTATCACTATCATCAAGCCAGAAGATTAATCCTGGTTCAATGACAGAGCAGGAAGGCCACTGGATATTGCAAAAGCAGTAGGCACTGACAACATTCTGAAAATAGTACTGTTACTTACCCTTCAGAACTAGCTGCTCCCTTAATCAAGCTGTTCCAGTGAGCTACAACATTGGCACCTAGCGAACAATGAGGAAGATTGCCCAGACATGTCCTGTACTCAAAAAGCAGGCAAAATTCGACCTGGCCAATGACTGCCTCATCAGTCTACTCTCGATCATTAGTAAAGTGATTGAAGTAGTCGTCAACAGTGCTATCAAGTGGCACCTAACTCCGAGGTCCCTATGTTCTACAACACTACCCAAGGCCCCACCATTAACTGTAAAAGCCCTACCCTTGTTTATTGCACCAAAATGCAATACCTCACATTAAGGATGATTCTTGAAGACCCTTCTTAAAAACAGAACTTACTGACCAAGCTTTTGGTCAGCTTGCCTAACAGTCCTGAATTTGGATCTATATCTGCTCTATCTTTCATCTAGGGACCACTGGGATATGTTTTCTTACATTACTGACATTATATAAACATAGATAATTGTAGTTGTTTCATTGCTCAATTTAAAGAACTGCGGAGGCTATAAATCAGAAACAAAAACAGAAGTTACTGGAAAAGCTCAGCAGGTCTGGCAGCATCTGTGAAGAGAAATCAGAGTTAATGTTTCAGGTCCAGTGACCCTTCCTCAGAACAGTGCCTAATGCTGGCTTATGCACGGAGAGTCTGACACGTGCCGATTTTCCAACAGGACCCACTGAGCAATCACAGGCAGAAGTTTTGGATTGATTTGTTTTATAGCACATCAGATGTCAAGTTGACTTGCAAACCAACATTAGCAAATTCACCACCAAGGACAGTTGTCAATCACACAAATATCTGAGTCTTTGACTGAAAATCATTGTGCATGGGACATTGAATCAATTAAACCACAAAAGAAGATTCACATCTATTGAGTGTTTCTTCCACTTGCTAATGCCTTGACTGTGCTCACGTTTCTATAGATAAATATTACTCAAAAATATTCATTTCTATTTGTTAAAGTAAAAACCACAAGTAACCTCTGAGGTGACAGCTGGGTTACCACATCAGGCAATGCCATCTAGTGGTCTCAGATATTGTCGTAAAGTGCTGCATGTTGAGGATGCAAGTGAAAGGAAAAGAACCTTGCATTTATATACGAGATAGTAGGAACTGCAGATGCTGGAAAATCTGAGACAACAAGGTGCAGAGCTGGATGAACACAGCAGGCCAAGCAGCATATTAGGAGCAGTAAGGCTGACGGTTCGGGCCTAGACCCTTCATCAGAAATGGGAGAGGGGAAGGGGGTTCTGAAATAAATAGGGAGAGAGGGGGAGGCGGATAGAAGATGGATAGAGGAGAAGATCGGTGGAGAGGAAACAGACAGGTCAAAGAGGCGGGGATGGAGCCAGTAAAGGTGAGTGTAGGTGGGGAGGTAGGGAGGAGATAGGTCAGTCCAGGGAGGACAGACAGGTCAAGGGGGCGGGATGAGGTTAGTAGGTAGGAAAAGGGGGTGCGGCTTGAGGTGGGAGGAGGGGATAGGTGGGAGGAAGAACAGGTTAGGGAGGCGGGTACGAGCTGGGCTGGTTTTGGGATGCAGTAGGAGGAGGGGAGATTTTGAAGCTTGTGAAATCCACATTGATACCATTGGGCTGCAGGGTTCCCAAGCAGAATATGAGTTGCTGTTCCTGCAACCTTCGGGTGGCATCGTTGTGGCACTGCAGGAGGCCCAGGATGGACATGTCGTCTGAGGAATGGGAGGGAGAGTTCAAATGGTTGGCGGCTGGGAGGTACAGTTGTTTATTGCGAACCGAGCGTAGGTGTTCTGCAAAGCGGTCCCCAAGCCTCCGCTTGGTTTCCCCGATGTAGAGGACCGCAATTTCTCCCCCTCAGTGGTCGAGAACGCCCTCGACCGTATCTCCCGCATTTCCCGCAACTCATCCCTCACACCCCATTCCCGCAATAACAACCAAAAAAGAATCCCCCTCGTCCTCACGTACCACCCCACCAACCTCCGGATCCAACGCATCATCCTCCGACACTTCCGCCATCTGCAATCCGACCCCACCACCAAAGACATCTTTCCCTCCCCACCCTTATCTGCTTTCCGAAGGGACCACTCTTTCCGTGCCTCCCTTGTCCGCTCTACACTCCCCTCCAGCCCCACCACACCCGGCACTTTTCCCTGCAACCGCAGGAAGTGCTACACCTGCCCCCACAGCTCCTCCCTCATCCCCATCCCAGGCCCCAAGAAGACTTTCCACATCAGGCAGATGTTCACCTGCACATCTGCTAATGTGGTATACTGCATCCACTGTACCCGTTGTGGCCTCCTCTACATCGGGGAAACCAAGCGGAGGCTTGGGGGCCGCTTTGCAGAACACCTATGCTTGGTTCGCAATAAACAACTGCACCTCCCAGTCACGAACCATTTCAACTCCCCCTCCCATTCCTCAGACGACATGTCCATCCTGGGCCTCCTGCAGTGCCACAACGATGCCACCCAAAGGTTGCAGAAACAGCAACTCATATTCCGCTTGGGAACCCTGCAGCCCAATGGTATCAATGTGGATTTCACAAGCTTCAAAATCTCCCCTCCGCCTACTGCATCCCAAAACTAGCCCAGCTCGTCCCCGCCTCCCTAACCTGTTCTTCCTCCCACCTATCCCCTCCTCCCACCTCAAGCCGCACCCCCATTTCCTACCTACTAACCTCATCCCGTCCTCCCTGGACTGACCTATCTCCTCCCTACCTCCCCACCTACACTCACCTTTACTGGCTCCATCCCAGCCTCTTTGACCTGTCTGTTTCCTCTCCACCTATCTTCTCCTCTATCCATTTTCTATCCGCCTCCCCCTCTCTCCCTATTTATTTCAGAACCCCCTTCTCCTCTCCCATTTCTGATGAAGGGTCTAGGCCCGAAACGTCAGCCTTACTGCTCCTATGATGCT